AAAGACAGGTAGGCAGTAGTTCCTTTCTAAGCCCTTGTGGCCATATGACCCAGAACAGAGCAAATGCCAGCTGGATTTCCAGGGACACATTGGGGCCAGCTGGATTTCCAGGGACACACTGATCTGGGTACAGTTCATTTCTCAGTAGGCAACTATTTTTAAAGTTTCAGCATTTCCTCTTGAGTCTATATTGTTTTCTCAACTCAAAGCACTTCCTTTTTGGAAAGAATAAATAAATCTGGATACATCTAAAGCATATAAAACAAGGTAGAAATAATACAGAGCATGGTTTCTGGAATTCTTTCCAATTTTTTTTCACTCATCATGGATAGAAAAAACTATTCCCTCTTGTGGAGTAATTTGTTGAATCTGCATGTGTGTATGTGCTTCTGCCTTTGTATTGTTTCTGTAGCAATTTGGGAACTGCGTAGCACAGTGTTTCTCAACCTTGGCAACTTGAAGATGTCCGGACTTCAACTCCCAGAATTTTGGCTGGGGAATTCTGGGAGTTGAAGTCCGGACATCTTCAAGTTGCCAAGGTTGAGAAACACTGGTGTAGCATAAATAAATAAGGCACTTTTTATCATGCTTAAATGCAATTGTTGAAAGTTAACACTGAATGCTTGTGTTGTACTGGGCTGAGAGCCAGAGTACTGGTTCAAATAGACCTGTTTCTTTTATCGTTTGAGGGTATTCAGGGTATTCAGGTTAGTTGTTATGTGTAATTAAACAACTTACACATTTCCTCTGCAATTTGTCACTTAAACACCTCATGTTTCACCCACTGAATTAACCACATTACTAAGCCAGCATTCTTAATATTGCAGTAGACAAATTCACTTCATATTTACATGGAAAGAAATTGAAGCTACGAATGAGTGTGTTCAGAACGGCAATCCTGAATCCAAATGTTTGATAGACTTTTAAGCGTACCCAACATGTAGAATTAGGAGGCAGGGAAAGCAATAAGGTTTGCTATTGAGGCTGAGATTGAATCAATGGAGGGTGCATTCTTTTACATGCAAATGTCCCCCACCCTAATCAGTAACATTTCTCAGCAGAGTAGAGAAACATTCCTTCCTGCAATCTTTTGGAATCCCAGAGACAGTGAAAAATGGTCCAGTATTTTAACTAGGGATAAAGCTAAGGATATTTATTTTTATTTTTTATGAATTTGTCACCATGTACAAGGTAACAGGTATTAGTACAGACATGGGCATTTTCGCATGAGATTGGTACAAACAGATGGATATAAATCAGTAAAACGTGGCCATGATAGAAGCAGAAAGTGTACACAGGCTGACAATGAGAAAAACCCAGGTCTTGATTATAACATAAAAATATGTACATGCAGGACAGTCTGTGTTTCAACCCAGTGTCCTTCCCGAGTGTTGCCCCCATCATTCAAATCAGCACGGACACCTTCCTTTGAAGTTATCACCCAACAGGTGAAGCGCATCACCTTGAAAGCCGGCTCTCAAGAATCCCGGAGCCCTTGGGGAAAATTGCGCAGGAGCCCATCCCCTTTAACTGAGCGAGTGACGTCACGACACTCAGCCCACAGCTTGCTGATGTTGCTATATTGCCGTTGCCACCGGCCGGGAAATTCTCTCGCTGCTGCCTTAGATTGAGCGGGAGGCGGTCGGTCACCTGGATCTCCTGTAGGAGGCGAGCCGCTTGAGCTCAGAGGAGGACGCGTGGCCAAATAAAGGAGAGGACCGGCTAAACCGAGCAGTAAGGCGGAGGAGCTTCTAGCCGAGCGGAGGTCTCTGGAGGCCGGTTGCCTGGCCCGCCCATGGCTGCTGCCGTTGCCGCTTTCCGGCACCTGAGCTTGGCGCTAAGCGCAGCGGTAGCAGCCCTCGGTTCGCTCCTTTTCATTGCATGGAAAGTCTACTTCCGAGACGCCGATGACAGCTGCGTCGGCTGGAGAAGTCGCTGGGAGCGGCAGCTGGAAGCGGAGCTCCGAGCTTGCAACGTGCGAAAGGAAGCGGAGGTAAGGGAAGCCTTTCTCCTCCTCAGAGGCCGGCTCTTCCGCAGCCTGGAGCAAATGTTTCTTTTTCAGAGAGAATTGGTAGCTGCATCCGGCTCCGTTTTGGAGATGCGGGACAGAGAACGCTGCGAATTTAGGAAAGTACTTAGCTACTTTTCAGGAAACAAGGTTGCTCTTGTGTTCACAGAAGCTTAGGGGTGGTTTGGGCTTACAGTCCCATACCTTTTTATGGGGCCAAAGGAAGACCTCGAGAGTCAGTGTGCTCTAGTGGTTAAAGGCATCAGGCTAGAAACTGGGAAATCATGTGTTCTGCTCCTACTTTACACAAAAGATCAGTGGCTGTCTTTGAGTTTCTTACATTCCCCTTCAGACACAGGGAGAAATCAGTGAAATGTTTCTGAGAAAACTGTAGGGACTTCTCCAGGTATTTTTGAATAAAGGCATCAAATGGGAGTGAGGGAGTGGACTGGGGCTGAAGACACCAGCCTTATAAGGATCAACTTCTAAAGGTAATGGACAAATTAATCATTCACTAATGAGGGCCTGGCCCTAGAAATTCAAGTGCTAATCTGATAAAAGTTGCATAATTTGTTTTTAAGATACCTTATCAGGCCAGAAAGCTGCCAGTACAGTATTTATTGAAAGGAGGCCAAAAACAAGGATCAGGAAATAACAGATAAGTTGTCCCAGTTGAAGAAGTGCAAAACATCATAAAAGATAGCAGAATTTTAAACACCATAAGAAATAAACCTGCTAGGAGGAATTAAAGAGACTTCTAGAAAAGAAAGTCCTGGATCACTTTTGGGGGAATCTTGTAAAATGGTAAAGAAGTAGGAAAGGTTGGTTCAAAATTATTCTTTATCTACAGTACTTCTTTTAGAAAGACTTTTTCACTGAGTTTCTGAGAAGACTTATGGTAGAATTATATGGGTGTGCATATAAGAGAAAGAAAACTTCAAAGAAGTTACTTTGAGCCCAATAACTGCATATAGGATTACAAGCTTCAGTCTTAAATTCCATGTGGCAACGTAGAAATATATAGAAGAAAAGTCAAAAGAATGTGATTAATTGGTTAGATGTTATGCTCTTGCGGCCTAACCTCCCTTTTGGGCAGCTGCTGATTTTGCATTTCTAATGCTGCATTCCAAGATCACCCTTAAATGATTAGTGTTGAGAAAGTTAGACAAAAGCCAAACACACAGTTCATTATGTGGGTTCTGGACTATCATCATCATCTTCTTTTAATGACCCTATAATCCCTTGTGGTGTGGAGTCCAGGCAAACCTGAATGGTATTTACTGGCTGGATGCCTTTCCTGTCGCCAGTGCAAAGTTTTGTTCAGCAGATATATTCTCATTCTGCCCAGAGAGAAAATATCTACCACCTACCTAGGATCAAACTCACAGCCCCCTGATGATGAGACAAGGGCTCCACCTCTAGGCCACTGCAACACTCATGTGGGTTCTGGTCTGGACTATGCTACCAGAAAAATGTAAGAATTGCTACTGGGTTGGAGGGGTTTAAAAAAGGATTAGATTCAAATAAATGAAGACTAAAAGTCAGTTATGTAATGTAACCATTCTCAGTATTGTTTCCTGGTGAAGATGAACAGGAGGAATACTTCACATTGTCCTCTTTTGTGGGTTTCTCACAGACACATGCTGGGCCTCTATGGGTTCCAACTCCTGGACAAAACAATCTTTTGATCTGTTCCATTGGGGCTCTGCTTACATTTTTATTTATTCAATTTATATAGCTTCCCACCTCAAACCCTTTTAGTAGTGGCAGCTTATGAAAGCAATACAAGAAGAAAAAGAACTTTTTGTAGCAAAGATTTTGCAAAGTGAGCAGATTTAGAGAGCAGAAAACAAGGGCTGACTTCTTCATGTGTAGATAATTAAATTAATTAAAATCCTCATAATGCCACTGTTTCTCTAATTGTCATGAAAGCTTCCTTAGCATGCAGTGCTAATGAGACCTATGCCTCTTCCTTGACTAAATTAAATTCCTGAGCTTTTATCCCGGTGGCATATGTTATTTCCTGAATAAATGTCCTATTCATTCTAATGGCTAGAGCAAACTACAGTGATCCATATCCCACTCATTTTTAGTTTGGTATACATAGAACTGCTCTTGAAATGTGTTTCACTTATAAAAACCGTGAAAGGTAAGTTGCTTGTTGATTTTTATTTTACTTATGTTTTACTTGAGTTTTGTTTTACATACTCCAGTCTTGACTTCCTGCCTGTTTTCACTGGCATAATCCAAGGTGTACTTTTCATTACAGGATTAGGTGGAGGACCTGAAGGACTGCTACCTCCATATATGAATTTATCCATAAGTTTGTAATAATTTTAATTTAATATTAATGAATTCTTCCACCAGGAAAAGCAATACTGTAATGGAATTTCTATGTAGGAAAGTTGTGTGTTGGCTGTTTCCTTGTTTTGTTTGACAAAGGTTATCCCTTTATTATCTGTAAGATTTATAAACTGCTTTACTCCCTTGAGTTTTAGAAAATACAGTTAATAAAACACTCTTTCATCTCACATTTTCATTTTCATCTTATGCTATCTCCACAATTATTAAGTCACCAAAGGCCTCCAATCTCTGGATTCTGTGCCACATAAGACAACTTCCTACACTTCCATAGAAGGGTAGACATAACTGAGAATGCTTCTGTATATTCTCTGCTATCCTATTTTTTGATAGAAGGGGACCTTTGGATTAGGCAGAATGAATGAATGAATGAATGAAGAGATGCAGTCTCAGCTACCAGGCACTGAGTCCTTTAGGACTTTATGGTTGATGACCAATCCTTGAATTGCATTTGGGGAGAAACCAATAACCAACACATATCCTGTATCAGTGGTTTAATCCAATTAATCTTTTTAATAACAACCCATTAAGATTCTGGGCAGCTTACAAAATCCAGAAAATAATAAAACCAATTAAACACACATAACCATGCAACCTAGATGAAAAATACCAGAATGATAACCTGTACAAGGCCGTCAATTGGAGCAATTACTTTTATGTATTACTCATGTGATTTTTTTATCCTTTCAGGATTGGTATCCTAAATTAATCCACCAGCCTCCAAATTAAACTAGGCTGTTATTATTTTTCTCTAAAGCTGTCAAGAATGATGACCAATTTGCTAAACTTATAGATCAGCTATGCTATTGAGAAGCAGGACTATTCTAAATACTATCCACAACTTAATTTATTTTTTCCTGCTTGCCTATTGCCTCATTTGAATATTTTAGCACAGCCATCTTTTCAGGGATGAGCCAAAATTACAAGGTTTTCCAATATTTTAATCTATTACTGCCTGAACTGACCTAAACTCTTTTTCTCATAGCAGCCACATTACTGTGAATACCAAGTTTTGATGCTCGGTTTGGACGGGGCTGGAAAAAGCACCATTCTTCACTATGTATGTAGTCCCGAAGCCAAGAAGCACATAGCACCTACTCAAGGCTTCAACTCAGTGCAGCTGCACGCCAGTGGGCTCCAGATGGACCTTCTAGAAGGTAAGCCCTGTTTGGAAATAGGGCACAATCTGCAACATACTGCATGTGCGGCAAGATAAGGGATATTAATCTGGCACTTGTGCAGGAAAGATGAGCCTGGAACTTTTTTTCCCTTCTAGGATAGCAAGCACTGGCTTTGTTCACAGAAACCACACTTAAACTTGTAACTATGTAAGTCAGTTTGTTTACACCATAAACTATGTCTCAAAAAGTCTGAGATTAATAATATCCAAATAACCAACTTTTTAAAAACTGACCTATGTTAACATAGGTTTCCAATATCATATTGAAGTAAGGGGAAATTGTCTTGAAACCCTTCTCCTGAATTGAATTTATGTCTTCTATACTAGGAATCACATATGACTTTTTGTATTTTTCGGCCTGAACAATGCATGGGAGACTGTAATAGGTATTTATACATAATAAGAGAGCATTCTTCCTTATTTAAAGTCACATCTACATTTCAGGCATGGGGGAAATGCTCATGATAAAGCTGTAAAGAAATATTTCCTCGTGGTTTGTTCCTCAGATGTGGGCACTGCAATGAACCGCTGGAGGACATCAGAATGAGAAAGAATGCTGTTCAGTCAACTTGTATTTTTTTGCTTTTTGTTATACTAGTTGGTGGGAGCCAGAATCTACGCTTCTATTGGAACCAGTATCTGAGCAAAGCCCACATTTTGGTGTTTGTTGTAGACTCTGCAGATGGCCCACGCCTTCATATTGCTCGGCAGGAGCTTCACTGCTTGCTGGCTGAGGACCCTCAGCTCCCTTTGATAGTCTTAGCGAACAAACAGGTGAGTCCCTTGCTACCGTTCACGGGTGACATTCCAAAAATGTAGGTTGATATAGATCATGGCAGTCAAACTCACCCCACCATATTGCAGTGATGTGACATTTCATCGTGTTCTCCCCCTTCATGGAGCTGGGATGTGCATGGCCTGCGTGTGATGCATCTGGCCCATGGGCCACTAGTTTGACATCCTGATCTAGATGGAAGAGCAACTTCCAGTTATAGAACTGCATGTGACTCTGAGATTCCTTGGACTAGATTACTTGCAACCAAATGCAACCAAAATGTAACAGTAGATCATAAAATTTCTTACTAATTTCAAAGAAAGGCCTAGTTTTTAAAATGATTGTTTGTGTATCTATTCTAGGACAAGAATGGTGCCCTGAGCGTGGCAGAATTGCAAGAGGAGTTGGCCTTGCACAACCTGGATAGTCAGAGGAAATTCTTTCTCTTGCCCACAAGTGCAACTTATGCTGGTTTGGCCACTGCAAACAGTGTTCTTCAGTTGAAGCACCTGCTGGTCAAAATCCTTGGACGTTCAAGCAAGATGGATTCCCTGTGATTGTGCCTCTCAGCAATAACCTTTTCCACATGGTCAGGAAAGTCTTAAAAGTCCACCTCAGCAGTCACCAAATGCTTTTGGAGAAGGAATACTACTTGCCTTGAAGATAACTACTGTTCTGGGATATGAAAGAAGGCAGAAAAAGGCGAAGTACATTGCTTGAGGCAGGAATCGATCAATCTTGGACTAGCTATTGAAAGCAGATGCTGCTCTTTTCAAAAATCTAAAGAACTGTAATACCTGTATTTGCACTAAGACTTTGCATTCTTCTTTATTAGATGTACTAGAGTTGACTTTGCAATAAGCAGGAAGAGGTAATGCAATGACTTTATATAGTGGAAACTAAGAAAGTCATTTCATAGGCAAAGAGCCTATGAAATGACTATTTCAAAAGCTGGGGGAAAGTCTTGGCCCATAAAGGGCTACATCATCCTGATTCCAGTTAACGAAATGTGGGATGTACTGAAACTGATGGCTCATCTAGATTTGAGGAATCCTTAATGGAATATCTTTTATTTCTGGCTACAAACATTGGAACAGTTGTGCCTTGAACTGATGCCAAAACTACTTCAGTCACTAAGACTCTGCTATCTTCCTATTTATTACTTGATTCTTCTGAAGTAACCTCTACGAAGTCTAGATATTTGATATTGGTCAAGAGAATTGGAAAGTCTGGGTTAGACCACAAAGAAATGCACGAAACTGACATTCTTCAAACTAGGTGAGCTCAAGTGTCGAATTCCCGGGTTGCCTGGGAAGTTTGAGACGCAGGCCAACACTTGCAGGTGTCCCTGATATGGCAGTTCTTCAGCATGTACTTGAATATTCCTATTTGATCCCAGCCCATCAGAAGTTCTTAAAAGTTATTATTTCTGCTCCATTATAGAAACAAAATGTTATCTATGCAAAAACTATTGTGAGCTAGTAATGGCTGTTATAACATACAGGTAAGCCACATCATAGGAGCTACCAATACCAATTCTCCTAAATTTCTAAGGAAGAAAAAAAAACTCATTTGTCTCACCTCTGTATTAAAGCATAATTCTACATGTGCAGGAAGCCAATCCCATCTTTAGGCAATTTGTCTCTACAGCTCTAATGATGTTACAAGTAGGAATGGTGCTGTTTCTTAAATAGGAAAATGATGCATATAATATTATTCTCCATTGCTCCCGCTTCTCTTGGTAGATCAGGATTCTTCTTTGGACTAAGCTCCCTTTGTTTTAATCCCCCCACCCCACCCCCATTTATCCTATTACAGAATATAGGAAACCTGGATAATACATCTCAGCCGTATATGCCATAGACAATTGCTAACAAATGCTTTGTAATTTTTATCAATAAATCTTGTGTTGTAAGATGTGACTCTGCTCTTTGCCCCTTGAGGAATCCTGCGTATAAATCAGCAGGACAATCACTACCAATGACCATTTTCATCAGACTTTACTTAGGATTAGAGAGCTTTTTAGTCCTGTTTCCCAGGTGCTTCAACAGAGAATTCAGACCCTTCAATTGCAAATTCCTGTATTAGCTGCATGACAATGTACAACTGCACTTTCAGTTTTCAGAGAAAAAGAACCAATGCTGCTTCTACTTTTAAAATAGCTAAGGAAAGAAGGCTTTGACAGACAATCCAAAATGTACCACATTAGGAACCCTCATTCCAACATTGCCATCAGCAGTGACTTCTTCCCTCCCATAAATATGGACCATGCTTATTGAGAGAGTTAGCATTTCTCTGGGACACCCTTTCATTGGAGAGAGGAGATAGCTCTTTCTGGCCCAAGTTACTAGTTTTGAGCCTTTAATCTTGATATCCACATCTTATTTCTGAGAAAGGAAACTATTTGAGGCTACTATCATTGTGCTGTCTTTCCAAAATGCTCAAGAAGTGGACAAGCTGATGTACAATTAACCTCTACTTTTGTCTGTGTATGTATGTATGTATGTATGTATGTATGTATGTATGTATGTATGTACGTACATATATATGCTCTATTATTAACACTAGGTTTAGAGAAGTCATATGTCAACCAAGGTCTCTACAGGACAAAAATATTTTTGTCACTAAGAGTTATTTTGCCTTGAAGAATCTTCAGTAAATAAATCTGAAAGCCGATNAATTTCTAACATATTTTTGCAATGTTAGTTCCTTTTCTTCTTCATATAGTGCCATTTTTCCAAGTTATACACACTGCTATTAAAACATCCAAGGCTTTTGCTAGGTTTCAAACAAATTCAGTGAAGTTTTTTCCACTGACCCTTTCAGTATACCAAGCCAATAGCTTTGTAATATCAGATGTTGCAAAGCCTCTAGCTACTAGATCGCAGTGTTACATGTTTTCCCTTTGTTTTTGGCTCTTTTTTCTAAACTCCGAACTCTGGAAAGGATTTTTCTCCAAAAAGAGAATAGGAAAAAAAATTGTTTAAAGATTATGATCTGGCTGAGCCTTGCGAGGAAAGAGGCTTTTAATCCACAAACACAAAAAATGGGAAAAGTATAGAGGAAGAATGGAAGAATGGGGAAAATAAGACCAGTCCAGTTTAAAAGTAAGAGGCATTTGTAAAATCCATAAAAAACAAACAAAATTAAAGTGAAAAAGATAACACGATAGTTTTAAACCAGGGTAAATTCGCTGCTTGTTTCCTTCAATTTTATTTTAACTCTGAGTCTTTTGGGTTTTCTCTTCTCTAATAATAAAGCATCTCACCATTTCAACATACTGTCTCTCCTGTGCTGCTTCCGTTTCAGGGGCTTGTCCTAACCTTCTGTAGCCATATTGGCTGCTTCTCTTGTAGCCAGCAAAAAGAGCTTTTTCCTGGATCAATCAGGGGCTTTGCGATGCCCCTGAGATCAGCAGGACATGCCCTTCACTACCACCATTCCTTCAGAACAGTTTAGATCCAAAAGGATCACCCAGCAACAGAGATATCAACAGCAATCCTGGAGCCCCAAAATTGCATGTTGTGTCGCTGCAACGTCAAACGCCTCCCCCTCCCAAATTGCTTTAACTATTTTAAAGACATCTAACTGGGTAATTCTACAGTTATGAAATGGCTTCCATTTGGAGGTCCTGCAACATTTTATATAATACAACTAAAATACCTAGCTACCAGTAGTAATATCAAAGAAACCTCAACTAGGTTGGGGAGGGGAGAAAAGGACAGTTGGAAAAGTGCAAATCCCATTTGATAAAAATATATTAGTACTGGCAAAATAGCATAGCATTATAGCGCTCAGCACATTAGAGCATAATCAGAATCTAGCATACTATATGCAAGACATGTATCGCCTTCCAGGTTCTACCTAAATTTTTGTATTATAGTTTTCAGCCATACTATTAAAATTCAGATTTGAAATACATATAATATTTTAGTATCATTTGTGTTAGTTATTTTGGTGTAATAATGGAGCAATGGTTAGAATGCTACTTCTGCTGACTGCCTGCAATTTGGCAGTTCGAATCTCACCAGGCTTAAGGTTGACTCAGCCTTCCATCGTCCATGGTTGGTAAAATAAGGACCAGATTTTGGGGGCCAATATGCTGACTCTGTAAACCGCTAAGAGAGGAGTGTAAAACACTATGAAGCGGTATATAAATCTAAGTGCTATTGCTATTTTGTGTTCTTCTGGATTGCGCATTCCACAATAGCAACACTACAGTATACTGCATGAATCAAATACTGAATCATATGGGCAGCATATAACAACAAAGTCGTTTAACCTCATTTTACCTATTTAACACAGACATAATCCCCCACAGCACTGTTTTAAGAGGGTATGAATACTCTTAATAGAATAAAAGTAGGAATATCTGGATATGTAATAATTACCACTGTTTGTCATCTGTTATTCTACCATTGTCATTGTTGATCAAAGTTACAGATTTTACTTTCTGACGTGCAAAGGAATTTAAAAATAGATATGTTAAGAATATTTGAAGCTTTTTAGACACTTTAATTTGATTGTGAAGTCACCCATCACCCAAGTTTTTGGATTATGTGCAAAACATATCCAAACAATACCGGTAGACATTTATGGTCCATAACAATTTGTCTGTCTTACATTCAGTTAAAACAACCTGCATAACCAAGCCCATTATGCATTGACAAATCAAATAAGAGGAATATAAACAAAATGACCAATAGAAATTTTGCCAAAGCTTCTCTAAAGAACAGGTAACATGTGAGCCCCAGAGCATAAAGTGCATCTATATTGTAATGCAACCTTCCATCTAATGTAAAACAACTTTAAATGCGGTAGTAACTGGAAAGCTTTACAATTGCAATCTGTTTATCACCAAGAGTAAATGAAGGCTGAATAATGAGCTAGTTACTAGGAGTCAAAAACTACCTGACAGCATATAAATAATCAACGATCATCACTATCTATGCTGCATTATTCAACTGGAGAATTCACCTCTGTTATTATAATAGCCAAGTTACCGGTAGACAGTTTTAAGAGGGGACTAGTTCAGCATGTTCACAAAGGACCCAAGTATCAAAATCAGTGGCTGTTTATTATCCCTTGAAGCAAGGAAGCATGTCCTAAATGCAACACTGGAAAGGAGCCATAGCTATCCAGGGTTGTGAGTTTCCGAAGGGCATCCCCTTGATTACCGGGCTGAACTCTACCAACTACAGTACTATTGCCTAATCTGTTTTTTGATCTGCTCCAGCTCTTGATGCATTTGGAATAGGGAAGAAAATGTGGCATTTAATATTACCATGCAATTTTTTTTTAAAAAAAATCAGCTTTGATTAGGTTGTTAACCATTACTTAGCAGAAAATCTATGTAGAGATTCTCAGTCATCTTTTGTCCCAAAGATGCTTTTTCAGGAGGCAACTGGACTTCCTTGCTTTTCTTTGAAGACGTTTTCGCTTCTCATTCCAGAAGCTTCTTTAGCTCCAACTAGAGATGGTGGGGAATGAAAGGAAATAGAATAGAAGAGTTGGAAGGGACCTTGAAGGTCTTCTAGTCCAACCCCCTGCTTAGACAGGAAACCCTACACCACTTCAGACAAACGGTTATCTTAAAAACTTCTAATGTTGGAGCATTCACAATCTCTGGAGGCAAGTTGTTCCACTGATTAATTGTTCTAATTGCCAGTAAGTTTCTCCTTAGTTCTAAGTTGCTTCTCTCCTTGATTAGTTTCCACCCATTGCTTCTTGTCCTGTCTTCCGGTGCTTTGGAGAATTTATATTCCTTGCAAATGACCAGCTGTCTGCAAGGAATATAAATCCTTCCATTCACCACTATCCAAGTCAGAGCTGAAGAAGCTTCTTGGATGAGAAGCGAAAATGTCTTAAAATAAAAACAAGAAACTCCAGTTTCTTGGGGGGGGGACACCTATGGGACATGACTTAGCAGCTGCTAGAGAAAGGGCAGAGGAGTGGAAGGAAAACACGCATACAAGGCTAAGTGTGCCACAAGGCTCCAGTCCTTAAAACAGCCCTCCTACCTGTTAGCGACTACTATCAATAGATACAAACTAAATGTAATTCACTTTAATCTTGATTGCAGGAAATACAACTTCAGCAATAGAGTAGTAAATGTGTGGAACACTCTACCTGATCCTGTTGTTAGTTCCTCTAACCTCCATACCTTTTATTTTAATCTGTCTATGGTGGACCTTACACGTTTCTTAAGAGGTCCCTAAGGGGGAGTGCATAAGTGCACCAGCGTGCCTACTGTCCCTGTCCTACTGTCTCCATTCATTTTACTCATTTACTCATTTACTCATGTACTCATTTTATTGTTTATAGCTAAGTTTTGCTTACTTATATTCATTTATTTGTGCCATTTTTTCTTGTGTCCATGTTTATGTCTATACTGATACTTATTTCCTTGTACTTGTTGAAAAATAATAAAATAAAATAAAATAATAAAATAAAATAAATAATAAAATAACATAATAAAGTAACATAAAATAAGTAAAAAAATAAAATAAAATAATAATAATAATTTTTAAAAAGAACTAGGAAAAATAATGAAATATCGCAACCTGGCCATCGAAACTACACGGCTATGGATGAAGCATGTAACAGTGATACCCATCGTCATCGGGGCACTTGGCACCATGTCCAAGAATTTTACAAGTTACATCAACAAATTGCAGCTTCCTGAAATAACACCAGTGGAACTGTAAAAAATTGCGCTACTCGGAACATCTTATATTTTTAAGAAGATACTTGGTTGATACCTAGGACACTGGCAGCAAACCGTATCAACCATTAGCACCAGTCACTGGTATTTGTAATGCATTTTTGAATGTTCAGTTGGCTGAGTTTCATGTTTAATGAATGAAATATATAATGATAATAATAATGGTTAGGAGTCGAGCTGTTGAGCTATCAACCAGCCCCAAAGGCTGTGAATCTCACCAAAGATTACAAGCAATACTACTACTACTGATGATGATGATGATGATGATGATGATGATGATGATGATGATGATGGGTCCCCAAACTTGGCAACTTTAAGACTTATGGACTTCAACTCCCAGAATTCTCCAGCAAAGCTGGCTAGAGAATTCTGGGAGTTGAAGTCCACAAGTCTTAAAAGTTGCCAAGTTTGAAGACTTGCCTTAAAATGCTCAACAAACGAGCACTGAGCCGAAGGGCGCCACGGGAAAGGCGTGCTTGCACAGCAGCCACGGCGTCTCGAAGGAGGAGCCGGCTAAGTCGGCCGATTCCGGTTTCATCAGACGGTATCTTCTGCTTCTCTTCCACGTTTCCCGGCAAGGGAGCTTTCGGGGTCACGCAAAACCTCGGGAACACCCCAACCCGCTTTCCACGGCTTAGCCCCCCACGCCGCGGGCTACCGCGAGCGAAGCTCGCTCTTCGCTGGCCGCCAGGCTCAGAAGCAACCCTCGCTCGCCTCCGCCTTTCGAGGACGTACCTGCCTTGGGCTGCCTGCAGCCCCCGCACTGGTTTCCCCTACCCGATACTAACAGGTCTGCCGGGCCCGCAGGTCGGTCGAAAGAAGGAGAAGGAGGCACGGCAGGCTCCGCGCAAGGAGGCCTGAGCCGCCGAGGCCCCGAGCCGCCATGACGCAAGTGAAGCTGGGAAGAAATGAGCTGACAGATCCAGCCCGCCCACCGCGAAGGCGTGGGCTTAGAGCCGCCAGCAGGGGGCGCCGTAGCGCCTAAGTCTTGCGAGAGCTCTGCTGGTCGCGTCTCTTAGAGCACGGGGGGGGGGGGGGTTCCGACATGGCTGGCGGGAGGGAGGAATAAAGTTTCAGAGTTGGATAGGGCTAGCGGGAAATCGAGCCCCCGGGCTGGGGATTAAGGCATCAGGCCAAAACCCGGGAAAGTGTGAGTGCTACGTCCTGCCTGAGGCACAAAGCCAACGGAGTTATCTTGGGTCATTCGTTCTTTCTCAGCCCTAGGAAGGAAACGATGACAAATCACTTTGGAAAATCTTGCCAAGAAAAATGAGACTGAGTCGCCAGGAGTCAAGCTGACTCGAAGGCAGTAGAATTAAAAGAGGGGGGTGAGACTAATAGTAAAACTTGTTTCCTAGGAAATAAGGGGTNGTACGTACATATATATGCTCTATTATTAACACTAGGTTTAGAGAAGTCATATGTCAACCAAGGTCTCTACAGGACAAAAATATTTTTGTCACTAAGAGTTATTTTGCCTTGAAGAATCTTCAGTAAATAAATCTGAAAGCCGATTTAAAATTTCTGCAAAACTTTGGCGAATCAAAGTTCCACCTGTATTTTTCTTATCTCTCTTTAGAAGGCAATATTTTATGTAATTCAAGTATCAGTTTTTTCAATCTCAGTCACTTAAATCCATGCTAGCAGATGAAATAATGCTTCAGCATCTTTTCCTCCTCATAATTATTGCTCCATTTTTTCTGGTCGTAACGATGCAATGAATACTTGGTATTCCTCGGGATAGAAGCGTTTATACACATTGATCTTCCTCTTTATTTGTTTTGGTGTGTCCTGGTAATAGTTCTTCTCATCACGCGCCATAGCCTAGGCAATAAATTACAAGCATAAATTAACAGAGAAGCTATAGAAGTAAACTATATTTACATATAGTTTTAGAAAGTCCCCACACCCATAAAATAAGCAAGACATTCAACATCCAAGTCTCAAGGACAGCCTGTACATAAAACAAATGCAAATATAACTGCAGAATGCCAATAAAATAAAAGGTAGATTCAGATGCTGGATAACTGATAAAACTGATAAAACCAGTTGCTCTACAGATATTTTGAATTCTGCCTGCAGCAAAGGATTGTAAGCACTCCAGTATGAACCATCTGAAGGGCCCTAGATTGCTTACTTCAGTTCAAATGTCCATTTCAGAACAGTCATACATTTTTTTCAAGCAAGAAACATTGTTCAAAACAATATGGGAAAATAGAGGAAACAAATCTTTTCCTAAAGCTGCCTATATAATGCATAATGTATCAATGATTTTATAAATAAATAGAAGACTTAACCATCATGAAAGTTATTCATATTAAAACGCATGCCAAGATCTGAATAGTTTCTAAAAATGTGTGGGGAAAATAAAGATCCAATGTGCAACCCAGAAGTGTTTCTCTGGAGAAACTTTCTGGAGGAAATATAAGTACTGAAAAGATCTTCTGTTTTAAATACTTACTTGCCTGTGGGAGGAGATCTCTCCTTGGAAAAACTGGAAACCAGTGCAAGGAGGCAAACGGATTGGCATGATGTAGTAGTAATATCATTTGGAAATAATTACAAAATTATCTCTGGTCAAAAGAATCAGTGTCTACCTTATAATTTTCACCATGATTCTGAATCATGTGTTTCACGTAGTCAATAAGATCTCTGGAGAGGGTCTCAGATTTTTCCTCTGGGAAGCTGGCTTCATATTCTAATTCTGGGCATAAAGAAAAGAAAGCAAGAAGGTATTAAGAAATGTTTGCACACTGTGAAGCCACCTTTTGTGGAAATAGAATAGCTCTACCCAACTTCCATGACTTCATGGATGTCATATCCCTTTCCTCCAATAGGAGACATGTCCAGGTTTACTTGGGAAAGATGCATTATTTTCATATCAGCAGACACAATTAGTTCTCCCACCCAATTTCTAATGATTATCCAACTGATTTTAAAATAGTTTGTATTCAAAACCACAAAAAAGTTTGAAAATCTGCTACGTTTGGCAATAAACAATGAAGAAAAGTAAACTGCACTTAATTAGAATAGCAATTATAATAAAGGATTTTCCTATGAAGAATGACGTGTGTGCCAAACTATGCCAATAGGAGGTAATACCCACCATTTATTACATATGGCTTCCTAACAGTTGTTGTCCCTGCCTCTTGTCCATCAAGTTCCATTTTTGTATGCTGTAATTTAAAAGACATGACAACTCACATTGTACAAAAAGGCATCTAGGAATTATTTTGTATTTTTTTTTACCACATTATTATCATTTTATAATAAAGGTTAACTCATTTTAAACATTTAAAAGGATCTGTAATTTTCTTTTGGTATCTAATTGGATGCAGTGTTACATCACACAGTTTCAAATTATTATACAATACAAATGGTGATAGCTATTTTATAAGTCTCTAGCACTCTACCATTTATTTCTCAGCATAGCTATGGATGTCAGCACCGGGGGGCACTAAGTGAATAACAAGACGGTGATTGTCACTTGCCTAAATGAAATGCTAACTGGAAATAGCTCCTCAACTATTTCAATTTCCTAAAAAGTAAGATAGTCGGACAAAAGAAATTATCTCTAAACCAAAATCTAGATTAATGACAGCTTAGTTACAATGTTATTTCTCATGCATACTTTGTATTTAACCAATACTATTGAGATTTACTGTAAAAATTCTACAAACATTTTCATGATGTACTTTTCTAATCATGCTATTTTAATTTTCCAATTATTGTCTTCCTGGAACAACACCCAAATAAATAATGCAAGCTCCTAAACTATAAACATTTATTTATAGTTTTCATTCATGTGATTAGCTGTCCTTGGAAATTCATATAGTACTAACCTTTGGAATGGGAATTGCCTTGTTTGGATCAACAGCAAGGCCCATTTCTGCCAAATTTTTAGAAGCTGATTTGGTGTTATCCCAGGCATGTCGGATTTGAGCACTGTAGAGAAATGAAAGGGGGTGGAAAGAGAAAGAAAGCAGAACATCAATGCTATGCAAACTTGAAGAGATTCCTCCCTTTTCAATAAAACAGATTTTGAACCCAAAACAAAGCAACAAATGGCAGCCCTCTCCCCCAATTCAAGTGCAGCGAACAGTAGCATATTGATTTGATGCTAAAAACCTCAACTATATACAGTACGTCCCCGCCTCTTTCCACAATTGTAAAGGTAGAAGAGCACTTTAAACGACAATCTGCTAGTATTTCATGACATACAAAATTGGCAGCCTATGGCAGCTATCTCAGCTCTGTCTCAGGATTGATCTTGTACAAGTCTAGTGCCTTAAAAAAATCTATGTATTTCAACATATCTTTCTAAATATACTCCAAGTACCATTAAGAGGCAATTTTTAGCATGATTTGAGTTTACTTCACTACTTTTTAAAAAATTGACCCATCTTCCTGAACATTTTACCTTTTTCACGCTTGAAAAGGAGTTGTTATAGCAATGATAATGTAGTGCTCACCATAACTTTTGAGTTGAGCCATTTTCTATGTTTTTTTAACCAAATCTAACTGTGGCATTCTTCATGTTATTCCTCATTCTATCAATTCTTCATTTTAATGATTGTTTAGCCCCAAGTCCTGTGTGCAACATTAGTTTTCCAGGAGAAATGAGCATGGAATAGACATCATAGATAACAAAGAATCAGAAAAAGTTGAACCAATATCCTGCATTCCATGGTTTCAATCTCAGTGGGCAAATACAGGTAGTCCTCAACTTATGACAACTGCACCCAAAATTTTATGTTGTTGTGAAAAATTTGTTAAATGAGTTTTGCCCCATTTTACAACTTTCCTTGCCAGAATTTTTAAATGAATCACTGCAGCTGTTAAATTGGTAACCTGGTTGTTAAGTGAATCTGGTTTCCTGATTGACTTTGGTTGTCAGAAGGTCACAAAATGCGATCACATGGCTCTGGGACGCTGCAACCATCATAAATGTGAGTCAGTTGTCAAGCATCCAAATGTAAATCCAATGACCATGGGGATGCTACAACGGTCACAAGTGTGAAAAATGGTCTTAAGTCAGTGTTTTCAGTTATATTTAACTTCAAACGGTCATTAAATGAATTGTTGTAAGTCTAGAACTACCTGTAGTTGAAGAGTAAATAGTTATTTAGAAAATGGGAGAAAACACGGGGATAAAGGAGGAGCTACTTAAAATGTGCAACTGAGGAAAAGAGAAGGAAAAGTGAGACAAAAGGGATGTAGGACTTACAATTTTAATTTTATTAAATTAATTTAATTTATTTAATTAATAAATTTAATTAATGAGGTGGTGCAGTGGCTAGAGTGCAGCATTACAGGCTACTTCAGCTGACTGTTAGCTGCAATTTGGCAGTTTAAATCTCACCAGGCTCAAGGTTGACTCAGCCTTCCATGCTTCGGAGGTGGATAAAATGAGGACTCAAATTGTTGAGGGCAATATGCTGACTCTGTAAACCACTTAGAGAGGGCTGTAAAAGGACTATGAAGTGATATATGTTTAAAGGCTATGTTGTTGCAGTTTTTATAATGCATTATTTTCCTGCCTTTAAGCCACTCCAAACTACCCGGATCCCTTTAGCTGATAACATAATACAATCCAAATAAAGAAATACTGGGTTGCTTTTGGAACTGATCCCATGTTGGCAGGTTTTGAACACAATCTAGCCAACTCTATTTTTAAAAAAAATATTATTTCAACGCTTAATTAGAACAGAAGCAGTGCTGCTATTACTGTAGAGAAAGCTGGATTCGATGGCCTTCGGAAGTGATGCTCAAACTGGACAGACAAACTATGAACCAGCCTCCAGCATTTTAAGCCTAGTTAGCATGTTAATAAATAATAATAAAATAGGGACAAGGTGGCTCAGTGGCTAACATGCTGAGCTTGTCGATCAGAAAGGTCAGCAGTTCGAATCCCTAGCACCATGTAATGGAGTGAGCTCCCGTTACTTGTCCCAGCTACTGCCAACCTAGCAATTCGAAAGCATGTAAAAATGCAAGTAGAAAAATAGGGATCACCTTTGGTGGGAAGGTAACAGCGTTTAGTCATGCCGGCCACATGACCAGGACAGCGCTGGCTCTTTGGCTTGGAAACGGAGATGAGCACCGCCTCCAACAGTCGGGAACGACTAGCACAATGCGTGCAAGGGGAACCTTTACCTTTTTAGCGTGCTAAATCAGCCCAGACCTTACGGTTGATTCCAAGTGTGTCGCAAACGTAGAAAATCGGCTGAATAAATCCCAGGCAACCTAAGAATGGGCCAGCACGTCGTGCAACCTGGTGCCTTCCAGACGTCTCAAATGACCGAGGACAGGGGGAGCCCTCCTATCTAAACCGAAGGTCGCCCCAAATAATGACTTTCCTTAATAAGCCACTTTCCTCAACTCACCATTTAATTCGAGGCGCCGACCGTTTGCGGAAAGCCCGGTTCAGTTTTTTGCGGTCGACGTTATAATTATACTTCTTCCGACGCTGCTTCTGCTTGGCTTTCGGCATCGTGGCGGCTCTCGAGAGCGAATTCGGAAAGGGCCCACGCGCTTTCCCCGCTTCAAGCCCTACGGTCGCAGCCTAACGCGTCGGTCGTGGCGACGACCGCAATGGAGGACGGGAGTGGTAGTTCTGCCTGGTAGCGTAGCCTAGATGCGTTTAAGTCTAACTACATTTCCCAGAGTGCCAGAGCGCGGAGTGGTGGGGGTGGGGGGAAATCATTTCCCAGATTCATGTGACAAGCGCGATTGGCTGAAGACGGCGGTCGGCGCTTCCTTTAGTCGAACCTCGTTAAAGCGAATTGAGAGGTGACCTTTGCGCGTTGGAATCTGGAGAGATCTGCCATGGCTCAGAATCCTCCGCCGCCATTTGATCCCTACCGACCTCCGGTTATTGAAGGCTTTACTCCGACTTCTCGGGGTAGTACCGAACGCTTCCAAAGCAAGTTCGTGCGCAAGTTCCGCGAGAATCCATTTGTGCCCATCGGTGAGCCTGGGCGAATATTCAATAGCAAGCGAATTGGTCGGGGGGTCGGAGAGCGCGACTGTTATAGATTGGGGAAAGCGGTGCGGTTATTATTTCAATATTGCATTATTTCTTTAAAATATTTTCATTCTGCCTGCCCATCCCCGCCTTCTAGGCAGTGTTGAATAGTGGAAAAAGAAAAAGATCGCCGTGAAATAAACAGCCGGAAAAAACAACCTAGTAATCAAATATACCTAAAATGCAAAAACAGTAAATAAAAAAAAGGATTTCATACTAAGAGGGAACAAAAAAGATTATTTCGGACAACAGCTCCGAAGTCAGCCAGCCATCAGAAATGCCTTTTTGCTGGTCTCAATCAAAGGGTCCTAAGAGCTCCTGAGAAAACAAATCCTGCTTAATTTTTTCTCATTTAATTTAGCTTAATGCTTTACAAACTTGGCATCCCTAAGATGTGCGGAGTTCTACTCCCAGAATTCCCCAGCCAGTTCTGAGAGTTGGAAGTCCACACATCTTCAAGTTGCCAACTTTGATTGATTTTGTTGTATCAAATATTATAGATCTTATTGAGAAAGGGAAAGTGCAAGCATGGCTTAATAAACACCAGTCCTTGAGATTTGAGACTGATCAGGAAAATATTAATATTAAATAACAAAAAAATCAAAACGGTGTTTGTCCTTAACAGAAACATGAGCCATAAAAGTGGTATAAATTAAGTTTTTCCTAGTGTAAGGGAATAGAGAAGAATGCCCTACCTAAATACTTGTGTTTAGATCTTTTGTTACCCTTTTTAATATGTGAGAACTAAAGGTCAGTGAACCAAAGTGTCTTGACAGAACGGGGCGCTCTCAAATGAAAAGATGGGATGGCATATTCAGTAGATAAGCCAAGCCTCTATAATAAAATGTCTTTCCTTTGTTTCCTTTTCTTCCCTCTCCTCCAGGCTGCCTTTGTACAGCTGGAATTTTGACTTATGGACTCATCTGCTTCATAAATAATAAACCCAAGCAATCCCAGATGATGATGAGGGCCCGTGTTATAGCACAGGGCTTAACTGTTGCATCCCTATTAGTGGGCATGGCTGTTACAAACCTGAAGTCATCCAAGTGAACAAGCTGCTACTGTACAATAATATGAAAATATTGTCCACTAACCGGGGTAAGAACAAGCCCGCCTGCCTGCCAACACACCACATTTTGCAGAATGATATTTCAGTGCTACTTAGAAAGTGACTTTTCTGGTACCAAGGAGGCCCAGTTTTGTTTAATAACATTGTTAATATATCCCATTGACTCAAATTTGCCACTGATGTATAACATTGTGTACCAATGGCCATGTTATAAGCCTTTCTTTCTGATAAAGCCAGCAAGATTACCTGATGTAAATGAAGCAGATTGGATGGAGGGCCTTTATTATCTATTAGGCAGTTGTGTGGTTAAAAGTGCATAGAAAATAACACATTTATTATGGAGATTGGGTGTGATGAAACACCTTATGATAGTGTTAAAGAATCATTAAGTTCCTATTCTGGATGTTATTTTTTCTGAAATTTTGTCACTGTCAAGGTTGGACAGAAGTCAGGAGGAATCTAATTGTGATGTATTAAAACCATTGTTTAAAGACCTACTGAATTAGTCTGAAACAATTGTTACTTGACAAGGTACTTGTAATCTGCCTTACATACAACTTCTGTAAAACTGCAGATAACTAGAGTAAGACCCTTTGGTTAAAATTGGGCAGTGGGTTTGTTGATGTAGCAGCCTTCATGCTGCATAGTGACATCCCTGCCTGAGTTACTGGATTCCTTTGGTGGATTGGGGTGGGGTCACCAATGCTCATCATCTTTGGTGATTTCAATCTTTCCCCCAGGTGGCATTAAATGATGGGCATCTTAGAATTCATGGCAATTGTCAAGCTGATTTGTCATCAAGATCCTGATGCACATCAGAGGTCTTTACTTTTTGTTTCAGGAATGTTACTACCTGATGTGAGAGTTGTGGACATTATCATCAGTCTATTATTGGGGACATATGCTCTGATTGCTTTGCATTTTGGGAAGTGGAATCTGTTAGACTAGAACACGGTTGTCAAACTCCCTGCCCGTGGTCTGGATGCGTCACGTGTAGCCATGCCCACCCCTGGTTCAGCGAAGAGGGGAAAGTCCCAAGATGTCATGTGATGCCGCCGTGACGACATGAGTTTGACACCCCTGGACTAGACTATTCAAGGCAACCTATAAACCCTGACAAGTTGTAGAAAGAGGTTGGTGTTGTTTTTTTTCTTAAGTATTTGATAAATAATTTGGCTGAGAATTTGCTGGCTGGCTGAAATGGACATGTGGCAAAGGCCTTAGAACAGATTACACCACTGCATCCTTTCACTGAGCATGAATCCTGAGGTGTGCTTTGATTTTCCAGGGCACTTAGGAGATGAAATGCCAGAAGAGCCACCTAGAGCACTATTGGAGAAACATGAAGAGTGAATTCAACCAACACAAGTTAGAGCACTCTTCCTCTCCTTTTTAACATCTGCTTGAGAACATTGGGTGAGATCATGAATTGGTTTGGGGTCAGATACCATTG